AAGTTAAATAAATAAACTAAAGAAAATAAAGAAAATAAATTAAATAAATAAACTAAGTTAACTAAATAAACAACGTAAACGATGTAAACGAGATTAACAAGGTTAACATAATTTCTAAGGATCTACATTAGAAAGATCATTCTAATGATTTTCGTGTAACAATAATTTTATAATAATAAAGTTTAAATATAAGAATATATGAGATCTTGTCAATAGAAAAAGAGAAAATCTAAAAAAAATTAAATTTTTACTTTATATACTAAATATAATTTTTTTAGTAACATTAATTCATAAAAAATTTTTTTTTAGATTTTCTCCCTTTTTATTGACAAACTTCTATATGATAATATAAAATATATGTAAATTTTAATTGTATAGAAATAGAGTATAATGAATGTTTACTAAATAATCAATTTAGTTAATATATATTAAATAATATGTGAAATTTTTCAAAGATTATAAAAGTTAATAAAATGTTTGATATTAGTAAAATTTTGAAAAATTCAAAAATATCAATTTAAGTCTAATATTTTTTATATCTTTTAAAGATTTTAAATTTCATAAATATCTGTATTATTTTCTTTTAGAATAATTTTTTAAATGAATTTTTTAAATAGATAAAACTAAATTTATATAAAAATCTTACTGATATAATCTTTATAATAAAAACATCTTAATTTTTAATAAAATTATTAAAACTGCTATATACTGTATATACAATATATTATAAAATCAACTTTTTATTTATATTTTAAATAACTTTAGTTTATTTAGCTTAATTATTTTTTTAATTTTATTACGTAGTGAGTGGTATATTGATTAGTTTTACTAACTTATGTCATTCTCTATCACAGTATTATACCTTAAGTCTCTATTTTTATAACTATTAGTAACCCACATTATTATAACTGGTTTAGATATTGCCAAGTTGCTGGCTTAAGCTCATTAGGAAGATTTGATATTCCCTGTTATTTACTAGCTATCTGGAATATATATTACTATAGAATTGAGAAATCTATTACATCATATATCTTGCTAGAGTATATATACTCTTATCCATTTAATGTCGTAGGATTTATGGGATTATTATCACAAGATTATCTAAACGGTGAACTAGCAGATGATGATTAAGTTATATTGACAAACATTTTAGAAATTAAACCTAACCTTAAACCTGATGATATGCTTGATTAGATAATACTGCAGTGTGTAATGCAATTTATTATCACTGTTGATCTATTCTACTAATTTCTAATCAATCACTTTCTTAATTTATAATAACTTTAGTTTATTAATTACAAGCAGTTTTATTTTTATCTTATTATCTTAATGTTTACTAATTTATTAACTTAATCAAAAGAATTATTTTGGTTAAATTATATATTAACTTATAGATAACTTTATTGATTCTTATACTAAAAAAGACTGATCTTCTTAATATGATTTTATCTTTAAATAAACTTGTTTTAAATCCTATTCTTTTTTTACAAATCCTTTTTTTTAATCCTTATGTTTTACTAATATTATTATACTTGATCATTTTAACTATATTCAAATCATTTATTTATAACAAATCTTGATCTAATAAAAATCATTTATCTTAAACTTGTTAATTCTTATTTTGTTATGCATATTATTAGAATTTAACCATAACAAAATAACTTTTTATATCTTTACTTTATTTTTACTATACATACCCGTTTGGGATTTTCTTTTTTTAATATTTAGAAAACATTTAATAAATAAATAAAAGCATTATTACTTTAAAAAAATAATTAATTTTATTACTTTTAGAATAATATAATTTAAATGTCATAATAGTAATGAATTTTTACTTTTTTTTTTATAATTATTTTTAATAAACTATTTTATTATTCAAATAACTAAAAAAAATAAAAACCTGCTTACTACTCTTGAGTTACATTTGAAGCAAAAGTACCAATATTACCAACTGCCCATATTTCTTGTTCTTCTTCATCCATATCATCTGTTATTTCGACTTGAATTTTCTGTTGTTCTTGCATCACTATTTTTGTTAGAACGCGTTTATGGAAGTCTGTAATAGACTTCGCCGTTGTTTCATCAACTGTTGATAAATATTGCTAAAATATAAATTATAATGCAGGTCATACAATAAAAATTTTAATATAAAACTCGTTTTGTTGTGAAAGAATTTTTCAATTTGAATAAATCTTATGAAATAAACAAACTTTTAGAATTGTCTCGCTTTCTAAGAGTTGCAATACGTATACTAATGCAAGTTCGGCTGCCAGTTTTACTGGCGAAATTCGATCACGAGCACATGCCATCATAGGTGGTATGATTGTTGAAAGATGAGGCTTAAGAATCTAACAATATAAATGTATTTAATTATTAGTAACATTGAATTTATGCCATAATTTATAGGTAATAACAATATGAATACCTGTGGGTACTTCTTTCCAACCGTTCGGAAGACAGATAACGACAAACGTTTTGTCTCCCCCAAAAGAGTAGCAGGTTCACGAATATTGGTTGCTAATGCTTCGATAAGACAAGCAGATTCTTCGTGATATATATCAATAAGCAACATCTTACCAGCCGCCATTATTGCTGTATCAGCAATATTAGGCTATAAATAATAATTAATAAAGTCTTAAAGAGGAACAATAAAAATAATGAAAAGTTTATTTACCAAATTGCTAGTAGAACCTTTCGAGATAATTTCCACAATTTCTCGTGTATTACCCATATCAAAGAACATTCTTGAAGATTCTGCTAGAATCGCATTTATCGCCATTAATGAACTTTGTGATGGAGAACCTAAGACGTGAGTTCTAAATATATAAACAAGTGTCATTTTGTAATCTTAAGGAAAATGTTTTTTAATATCAAAACACATTTAATTCCCATCACTTACGAGATGATAGGTATAGCTTCTTGAGGAGCAATATGCTTGCATAAACTTCCAAATAGACGAGATGCTCCAATTACCATCTTATCTAAGATAAACAAACATATTTTTTAAAATTATAAAAAAAAATTTCTTTTAGCAACATATATGATTTTATACATACCAGAACCATCACTCAAACCATCCACAATAACTCCAATTACATTTTTCTTTGAAGAATCGTTCATTCCAGCTCCAGCTTTATTTATTACACTCTCTAGAGCACTTAACATTGTCTCTTTAACATTAGGTTCACTAGTAGTTTTTATCCCAGTAATCAACTCAGTAATTAGGGGGTCGACCCTAGTTTGCAATGAAATTAGAATACCAAGAGCTGATGCCGCTCTTGAACGGACAAGAGCACTTGAAGGGTCAGAGAGAGATTTAATAAAAGTACGTTGTAATTGAGGAATGAATGGTTTAAGATGAGCAGGAACTTTATTAAGTAAAAGGCTTAGTGTGTGAAGTATAGCGGCTTTCACTTGGGGAGGATAACGGTCACCGATTATACGAATAAGAGGTCCGGTGATTTGAGTAACAAACGACCGAAGTGCTTCAGCCGAAGTTCTCTGAATAAGATCTCCAATACCCAAAGCGGATTGCTCGCGAATTTCGACAGTACCATACATTAAACCTTGTAAAAATATCGGAAGTATAGGACTAATACCCTTTGGTAAACAAAACCCTGGTAGGTCCACATCAGGTACTCCAACACTTTTTACCGAGCGACGAGTAGGAATTACCATTTGCTCTAATTCATCTTTCTTTAAAGGTTTGATTACAGCTGTTAAAGCGTTCCATGCTGCCTTTACTACATTTTGTTGTCGATCATCCAGAAGTAAAATTAGTACACGTATCCATTCAGTTACATATCTCGAATAGTCAATTTTACTTTCATTACAAAAGATTGTAACAATATCACAAGCGCCAGCTCGGTGAGAAGGATCATCACTTTTTACTGCCTCAAAAAGCATTGTCATTAAAGTCTGAAGACCTTCGGCATTATCAATAGAAAGTATCAATGCCTTTTCTGTTTCTTGCAACTCTAATATGACATGTTCATCAGTTTCCGTACCCAAAGATACAATAAGAGCGCTTAATATTTGTGTTAAACGTTTATTAAGAGCAGGACCGGCTACCGTTACCAATGACGCAAGAGCTCGAGCATTAAACGAAGTAATTGGTGTTTGTATAAGAGTAGGTATAAGAACTGGGAAGACTAAATTAGCACGTACAGCCATGATTTCTTTCAGAGCCTCTAGAGCGTATACAGAATCATCTCCAGATTGTAGAGAATTAAGAAGCGTTGGAAGGATTTCGTCTATTGCCTTATCTCCTACATGTTGCTGAAGAGTATCAAAAGCTTTATAAAACACATAAGAGTTAATATTGTATTTTTCAAAAGGATTGAATATCAACAAATAAAATAATAATAATTTATTACAATTACCTTGAGCAGCAGCCTCGCGAACATCACTTGATTCGTCAACCAAAGCTTTTCTAACAGCAGGAATAATCGAGTCAACATAATCAATGACTTGAACTTTCCCTGCCGTACTCATTACTTCACTTAAACCAATACAAACACCCTGTCTCATGTCTGATTCTTGAGATTCTAGGCCCTCTTTAAGTATTGGCACGATTTCAGATAAAACACTTTCACCTAATTTGCGAACAAGTTCTCCAAGCGTTCGACCAGCTACTTGACGTCGTTCGTAACTAGGGCTTGCTAGACTACGAATAATCATCCCCATCATAATTGGAAGTATGTCTTTAATGGTACGAGGAGTGTTTGAAACAATGACTTTCCATACATGAATTGATGCCTGCCGAACAATACCGGAAACTTTTGATGTAAAGGATTTTAATGTGAAAATTTATATTATAAAATTAATTTTTAAATATTTCAACAAAATATCAGCAATCACACAATACAAGAATACAAGAAAATAATAACTTACCATCTTGTCTTACAATATAAAGAGCAGCCAAAACACGATCACGCCTTTCCTTACCAAGCACTTGAAGTAAGGCCTTTCTACTGGCTTCAGTACCACCCATCTCCTCCTCATCATCATCAACTTCAGTTTTACCACTGATTCCTGTAATTCTATACAGTAGATCTCCCATAAGTTGGACAGAGCTTTGCCTAATTCTCCAATTATCATCAAATAATCCTATCTCTAACTCAGGAAGTAAAAGATCCACAGCTTTCGTTGCATAATTTGCCACAATCATTTGACCTGCTCTAAGTGAAGCATCACGCACGTATTCAGATTCATCAGCCAGACCAGACAAAATTGGTGGAATAATTCGACCAAGGTAAGGTTGAAATCGAAGACCAAATGTAGCGGGAAGATATATAAGCAACGAGATAAATCCTTCTCGAACATAAGATTTTGAACTATTTGAATTATTAACGATTTCCGGTAAAAGTCCATCAAGTCTTTCAAGTCCTAATCCTGCCAATACTTCACTAAGTCCTTGAGCAGCACCCTGTCGATCTACACCACTTGTATCGGATTTAAGAGTGTGTACAAGTTCATTGACAAGATTAGGAAATTTGTCTTCACCAAGTTTTTCAACCATAGTACCAAGTGCTTTTGCGGATGTAGCACGAGCATCTGGTACAGGATCAACTAGTACTTCTTTGAGACCAGGCAATAGTCTAGGTAAATACGGGACAAGGTCTCTTACATCCGTAAGAGATGCCATATTACCAACGATCTGTGAAGACTTTTTTTTGATCTCTGTTCCTCGCTCCCTTAATCCACGCTCAAGAATTGGCATCACCTTAAACAAGATAGGGCCATTGTTATTTAATAAATGTAAAATAATAAAATAGAAAAATAAATATATATACCAATGCTAGTGATGGTGCATCAATATAATGTACAAAAGCAGTTTCTAACAACGAATCTAAAGCGGCATTAGTATGCTTATCGGGGTCACTAAGACCTTTAAGTAAGGTTGGTACCAAAGCTTGAATTTCAGGGTTATTAATAACTTCTCCGAAATGTAACAATGATTCATTAGCAGCAGATTGGACACTTGTATGTGAATCTGTAAGTACATTCGTCAGCCGCGGAACAATTGCAGGAAGAGAGATAGAAAGTTGTTTGGGAGCACAGAAAGCCATCGCACCCAATAATTCAACCGAACCTTTCTTGGTTCGCCATTGACGATCATCAAGTCCTGCTAATAATGAAGGAAGAATAAGTTTAACACAATGTCCACTAATCTTGCTCATGATTACTCTTGCAGCATCCGAAGTTGCTTCTCGAACTTCAGGATGTGAATCACCAAAACAAACTAATAGCAAAGGAAGTATCTGAATAATATAAGGCTCAAAAAGGCGTCCCAAAGCTTGTGATAATGTTTCGAAAGCAAAAAGAGCTCCTTGTCGACATTTATAGTCTTTTTTGTTATCAACTCCCTCTTTTAATGATGTCATAACATTACAATCTTTTAAAGCCGAAATACCCGTGCCTTTAACAACACCAGCTAAACCAAACGCAGCGCCTCTTCGTTCTGCATATTTTTCAGAATGGAATAGCTGATCCAGTAGTCCCTTGATTAAGTTTGGTGCATTATCTTTCATTGATTTAATAAGTGGCGGTAAACATTCACCGACTGCAGTTTGAACAGCTTCAGAAGGAGTTTTTAATGTCTCAAGAAGTTTAGATATTACAACTGGAATCCTAGTATCAGTAGGATTTAAATGTCGAGCTAAAGCTCCAAACCAGATAACAACAGATTCGCGTATGCGATCATGTGTTTCGGTAGGAGAATCAGGTTTGTCTAAATAATTTTCTAACACTGGCATTAACAACGTAACATTTTTAGCTCCATGTGCATCAATAACGGCTAATCCAGCCTGTTTATAATTAAAATGAGTTGGTTAAAAGAAAATAATCGAATAAAATATTTAAACTTTTTCATACCTCTAACATTCTTTGTCGAACTTGTGCATTAACATCACCAACGGCTTCACTATTGATGAGGAATTCAAATAACTGAATTAAGTCTGATGATTTCATATTTGGTGCAAGAGCACCAAGAGCAAGTGCCAATCCGACACGAGCTTCCCAAGGATCTTTTTTATTTAAAGATTCTGGTTTAACCATAGCAAATTCATCATATTCTGGTTCTATTGGAATGGCCTGATCAAATAATAAAAATGAAATAATCAGTAGATTGATTTTATTAATTATATTGATTGTATTTAAAAATAAAATATAAAGTTATTACCTTTTCTTTGTAAAGATTGTAAATTAAATTTAGTGTGTCTGCAATTGAATTTTGGAAATATGTCGCAGCTTTACCTATTGCCTTAGAAGCGGTTATTTGAACATACTTTTCATCTTGAATCAATAAAGGCAATAGTTCCGATGCATAATTTGGGTCAACATCCATTCCATTATCTTCCCATAAAATTAATGCCAATTTGGAATTATTTTCATCCTCATCATAACACGAAACCCATAATTCGCAAGCAAAATCAATTTCAGTAAGATCCAAATAATTTAATGCTTGTAAACAGGCATAACGAACAAATGATTCTGATGATAATAGTCCATTAAGTAATGTATCTATTTCCTTCCTTTCCGCAGTTTCTCCGATGGCTTCACATAAATTTACTAAAGCTGTCCTTGCTACTTTATTCAATTTAGGATGCTCTTTAATAATTTGTAGTAGAACCTTAATCATTTCTGTTCGAGGCAATAAAGGTGAAGACCCTATTGCTGAATGGAAAGATATAACATCTAACCCAAGCGCAATTTGTTCCATTAATAATTCAACATCCCTTTCTTCTGTGCTTTCATACCCAATACCACCTTTTTTAATGACTTGATGAATTAATGGAAAGCAATATGCGAACGATGAAGGGGGTAATAATGAACGCTCACTTATAAACCTCAGACGATAAAGAACACGCGTAACAAGTTGACCCAATGGTTCTTGTAACCATCTATCAGGAATTTCTTGAACATCCATGGCACGAAGAGTCGCTAAACCGATAAAATCACGAATACTTTCAATTTTTTCTGATGTACACTTATTAATTCGCAAATACGTGTTGACAGCTTTATCACCAACCAAAGGACCACTTTTTTGCACGACAATATTTAAAAGCCTCATAAACTCCACAATATGTTTTTCTATAGCTTCAGAATTGCCTTCAACTAATGCATCCACGATATCTAAACCTCTTAATAACGTTAAGCGAACTTGTTCCACATTTTTACGTATTTCGGATTCTTTTGCTAATTGTGCGTCTACTGCGGATTGTTCCTCCTTTGTAAGTTTGGTTCGTGAAGAATCGCCCTTCTTTTTGGCAATTGATTCACGTAATTCACGTTCCCATTTCTCTGTTTTATAATCTTTTCGATTACGATTCTCTACAAGAGTCTTCTTATTACGTTTGAGAACTATATACATTGATAGAAAAATGGAATTAATATGATTGAGAATGTGTGATATTATTGGAAATAGTCTATATTAAGTTGAAATACCATCAATGAATAAAGTTCCTTCTTCAGTTTTCCAAATCTCAATCTCCCTATCTCCTATATTCTCAAATAATGTGGCATCCAAATTTCTGTGACATTGTGTCAAAAATAACGGTATTATCGTTTCTGGAGAAATAAAAGTAATAGTGGAAATAGCTGATATTGCAGCCTTATAGAAATATTTCGACTAGAATAAATAACGATACTAAATTATATTAAAATTGTTCTCGCTTTTCAATAGTCTATGAATAATAACAAATTATAACTTACTTCATTACCAATTTCAATTTTATCTTGAACTATTTGTCGAAGGCGACCAGAATAATTTTCGACTAATTTTCCAGGATCAAGTTGAGCTCTTTGAACTAACGAAATCCAATTGTATTTATTATTAGGTGATACTAATATTTGTAGATTAAAAATACATTTAAATTATTAAATAAAATATAAATTCAAGATGAAAACAAATTTTTATGATAAATTGCAAAATAATACCAACCAATCAATGGATGATGAGCCAGAACAATCAATTCGACAAGTGAGGATTCAACTTCATGTTTATTCTCCTCTTTAGAAAAAGTAGTGATAGCCGTGAGCACTTGTGATAGTCGGTACGCATTTACAATATGGTCAGAATGAGCAAATCCAGATGCCAATATTGCTGTAGAATCTTTAGCGTTTTTCTCAAGCTTCAATCACGAATTTAGGCAGCGATATAATTATAAAAAGTAATATTAATTTACATTTTACATCCTTTACGGAAAAGAAGATTTATAATAATTAAAAACATAGAAATTAGACCTACATTAAAAACCCATTGTGTCAATCCTTTACGAAAAATTTCTCCTACGGGTTCGACGTTACCTTGAATACACCTTTTCAAAGTATCATATGCTTCATGACGTATTCGATGATTAGAAAACGCCGTTATCATATAAATAAACGCCGTAGATAGAAATATTCTAAAAATAGTACGTTAAATATTAAATTTAATTAAAATAATATTATTTTAAATAAATATAATTCTTACTGTGTGTCGTTATTTTGTAACATAACTTCATTTTTATCAAGTAAAACTCCTTCAAGAGCACGAATAAACCAAAATCCCTCTTCATAAGTACTCAATTTGGAGTAGACTTTATCCCAAAATAAAAAAGAAGGCTTCGGTGAAATTACTAAAACATTTTGCGTAAGTTTTTTTTCTCCGATTAAGTTATCTAAGTATTAGGTAAAGTTATAAAAATCTTAGTTTAAATATTCAAATGCAATGCGATAATCATAGGTTTAGTGGAAGAACGCGTTACTTAATGTATCGTCATCCCAATTTTTGCATCTACCAATTGCAATTGCAATAGTAATATATCCCTCAATTGGACCTCCCGTGAAAACGAGAGGATTTAATTGGATCTTTTCCAATGTTGATATAAGTGGGGTGAGAAACTTTTGCGTAGCATTTTTCAATGAAGTGGAAGGGGATATTGTTTCCTCCCAAACAATTCGACCAATTATAATCGCCCAAGCTTTTCTCGCGCCAGCCTTTGTATTAGACAATCCATCTACAATAGCCTTAATGATCTTTTCTACAAATGAAATATCTTGCTCAGATCTTATTAAATATCCAACATGTAATCCTAAAGTATCAATCGCTTTAGCTAAAGCTAAAGAAGTTTCATTACTTTCTTTTGAAACGATAGGAAAGAGCCCATCAATTACGGTTTTGACAACATTAGGTGATTGATGAACATGAGCGAGAGATTGTAATAAGATAATACGATGCTCTGGGTTAGACACCTTTCCTATCCCACAAAAGAAATTTTATATATTTAAACACGGAGATAAGTTAATTCATTCAAATTCATAAATAAATATGCGAGTCTTAATAAAAAGATGCTGACCTCCTGTTAGCGTTTTTAGGATATAATTGACAACCTCTATAACTACTTCCTCATTCAAACTTTTTTCGAATAAAATATTTAACAATTCCGCGGCATCCATTTGTATTACCTTATTAGTCGATCGAACGTGACTAAGCAAAGATTGCAGAAAGTTGTTCTTAAAAACATTTGACACATCAAAAGAAACCGATTTAAATAGACTTATTAATACTATATAAAAGATAGTAACGAATTAGAACTTAATTTTTAACCAAAAAATTTTTCTCTAATAAAATATGAAGTTAAAACAAAAAATTAAATTACCATTCAATACGATTTCTGGCGCCCTCAAAAGCTGTTTCTCTAAAACTGGTGTTAGTTTAATCCGAAAATCCTCTTCAGTGACTACAACGTTCATGAAGTCATGTAATGCATCCTATTTTAATAACCAATATATTCAGAATTTATTCAATTCAACTCGAATATAAGATCTAAAGTCAAATTACCGCGGAAATCTTTGGTACTGGGGTCTTCGAAGAAGCAATAGCCGTGATATAATATTGTATTATTTCGTCCTAAAGAAATTTGTAAGTTTAAGGCGATAATAATATATTGAGTTCTAAAGTTTAATAACAACACGAACCTTTGCATTCTCAACGTAAGATTTACCGATACTCTTTCGGAGTCTCAAAGAGCAATCAATAACAGTTCCTAGTAAAACAGCATTCTTATAAATAGGGTTACATGTTTTCGCATTAGATATTAAATAAGAAATGTATGAGGGAATATCAAATGGACTCTAGAAATAAATTAAAATTGTTATCGGTCAAGTTATTAGCGTTTAATAAACAAAACAAAACTTTAGATATCAATTACTAAAATTATCATGTACCTTGCGAATGGATCGCCTAACGTCGAATAATGCGCTACGTTTTATATTTTTTCTTTTCTCATTTTCGCTGATTAATGAATGCAGCAGTATTGCCTGAGCGTCTACTAAGTTCTTCCAATAAGGTGAATCCTCCGGAGATTTTTTTGATATAGCAAATGAGATCAATAAATTGATCCACGTGAGAAGAACAAATCGATTAGAAGAGGATGTCGTATAAGTGGTACTGGATGTAATTTAAAACAATATTAATTAAATAAACGTAAAATTATACTTTATGCGATAAAAAAAAAAAGATTCTCATTATACCCGTCAGGACTCTTTTGATTCAGTCTATCAGTTTCCTTTATGACCAATGGAACAAATGACTTTAAGAATTGGTCAGAGTTCCAATTATTAAGCTCTTTTAACACATTTAACATTGCAATACGCGAAGGCCTATCATTATATCTTGAATAAGTAAGGAAAATTAGGTAAAGTAGGCTTCCAAGTGTTTTATCTGATAGTTCTATTATAAAAAAACAAAAAGGATAAAATAAGCAAGTTACTTAATAAAAATTCGTTTTAGCACTGTCATATAATCATTTGTTGTCTATTAACTAACTTTCAGCCTTAATTCGAGGTAATAAAGAATGGTTCAAAAACTCAAGACGACATGTTGTGCTGGAATTTGTTAAACTGTATAAAGCACGAGACTTTATAAATTCCGCCCAAGAAAGATCAGCCAAGCCGATATCAACAACCTCAACTGAATCGTCGTTCATTCTAACTAGCAACGAAAACAATAATTATAAGGAGATATAAGTAGATAATCAAAATAAATGTAAAAAAAAATTTGGTGATCAATTGACTAATATGGGTTGATGTTAATAAATTTTTTTTATTTATTGGTCAATTACGATTTCTATCGGGACATAAGCAAAAAAAATGTTACCCGGAGGTTTTTACGAAAGATCTCTGTTATTATGCACAACTTGGCAAAAAGCTGGAAACTAGACGATAATTATTCCATCTAAATTTTAGTTGAGCAAAATTGAGACTTTCCGTGCTTTATTGCTGAACAATATGGGATTCTTGAAATTTTGATAATTTTACATACAGTATTTCAATTAAAATTTTTTTAAATATCATCAGTAGTCTGGTTATCATTTATTTACGGAAATTTTTTTTCCTAAATCAAGCATTATGCGTTTGACTGTTAACATAAATATTTAACAACTACAATAAAAACAATTTGTAACTTATCTCTTGCATATTGATGAGTAGATTTGCATAAAGATATTGTAAAAAGGGGAGAGACTATATGGGAGCGTTTCCAGTAAAATCACATTACGGATCATGCCTCATGACTTGATTTTACTGGAAACGTTCCCATATGGGGTGAGTGCTACGAAATGTAAAAAAAAAAACTTTTAAAAATAATTAAAGTTCTGGATCAAATGATAAATAAATTACATCTAATTTACAGGAATAAATTTTTATAAAAATTTCAATTTGGAGCATTCATCTCATATAAGGGGTGATTATACTAGACCAACTGGTTGTCTCATCTGGCTCCTGTAATAGAGATGAAAAACAATTATATTAGATGAGTAAGTTCTAAAGTTTCTTTGTTATTATAGAGAAAGGTAGCCAATTTCTCTTCAAAATTAGCAGACCTCTCAAAAAAACAAAGGATCACACCTCTATTGTGACTCCCAGCACTTAGTTGTTAGTTATGCATCCAAGTTCAGCACTTACAGGATGCCCTAAACTGGCACATAATCATTAAGGAAGCAAGAGTCTGGCAAAAAAAAACCCCATTCTAAATACATTCATTTAAGAAATCAAATGAAATATATGGAACTTACATTCTTTAAAAGATTTAAAGAAAATTTATAGAGGTCTTTTGAAATTTCTGTTTTACTAATTATAAGATTCAAAGTCTTATAAAATGTGAAATATATTAATTTTTTGTTTACGTTTTAAGAATCCAGGTTTTATAATATGAAAAGGATCATTTTTTTTAGTATCATAATAAAGAGATAATTCTAATAAGTTATTTTACAAAATTGACTAATAATTCAGAACCTATAAAATTATAATATACCTAGGAGAGTTTTTATTACAGGTATTAATTTTTTAATATTTTGTTATGAATAGCATCATAATCTTTTTGATTTTATAAGAAAATATGTTGAAACGTGCTAAGACATTTAAATTCAAAAATTATTCTTAAAAAAGCTTATACTTTAATGCAATCAAATTTTCTTTATATATGATTTATCAACTCAAAAACTCAATAAATTGTCTTAGATATGTTACAGCTTCTCTAAGATATTTATCAAATTTATTATCTTTTTTATCTAATAATATAAGTTGATATATTAATACATATAAAAAATACTTAAATATTCTAATTAAACAAAAGGATTTATAGAAGGAAAATAGACTGTTGTATAAATTTTTACATAAAATAATTTGATATCTATCTTTTATATATTGAAGATAGTGATATCTAACTAAACTCTTTTTTAAAAAATTGCAATTTCGTCAAAAGTTTTGTCATTTTAATATTTTTATATGAATAAATATAAAATTATTATATTTTTTAATGTATTTTAATTTAAGGAATTTAGATCAAATTAAATATAATTTCGGCAATTAAGTAAAATAATTTTGTCATTAATAAAACTAGTTTCGTCATTTTGGTTTCGTCAATTTCGTCATATTAAGAAAGGTAATTTCGTCAAGTATTACTAATTGAAGATCTAATACCGATCATTTATTAAGTAATTTTCATATGAAACTTCATTTTTTTACTTCGTCAATAAGTAAGTTGTGTAACTTTATTATACTTTTTAAGATTTTTTTTTATATTTTATTCTAAATATATTATAATATATTAAATTGGTATTATAAATTCCTTTTTTTCACTTGGATTTTTGGAATTTTAATATTTTTTTTTTATTTGAATAATATATAGAAAATATTTTAATTAGAATTTTTAAATATAAGAAATAATCAATTCTAATATTATTAAACAAACTTCTTAAATAACTTTAAAAAGTATTCCACTAATCATAAAAGTATGGCATTAACATAAAAAAAGTAAAAATCATATATTATATAGCATTATATAAAAAAAAATTTTCAAAATTGAAAGATACCAAATTTTTCTACTAATAAAAAAATTGAATAAATATTGTATTTGTAAAATAACATTAGAATATATAAAATAGAAAGAAAATTAAAGATTAAAAACTTTTATTAAAATAAAAATAAAAATCTTATTTTATTATAAAAAAATGATTTTTTGAATTTTACATAAAAATTATTTGAAAACCTACCTTTGTAATCTAAGAAATTCTTTTTTTCTTGTAAATTTACATATATTTTTATTGTCAAAACTATGTATTTGTTCATACTTTAAAAAATCTTAAAAATAATTTAATTTTAAGACGAAACTTATATATATGTTGGGAAAAAAATTACTAAAGCATAAAAATATTAATTGAACCTGATAATACATTTGATATTTTATCAAATTACTTAATTTAATTGCTTTATTGTATAAAAAAACATAAAATAAAGTAGTAACATGAATTTTAATTTAATATAACATGTCTTATAATGATATGCATATAGTTTATCAAATTACGTAATCATATAAAATCACTAAAATTGATTAGAAATAAGAAATGTGATAAAAAATATTATTTTAAAGTATTCTAACAACCTAATTCTAAATTTGATGATGATTATGACAATTTCCCTTTGAATAAAACTGGATGTGTTTCAGTATATTTTTATCGAATCAAATTAGCAAATATCTAACATTGCTAAATTTCAAATTGTAAGATTGAAAGAATTTACTAATTTTCTTTATACCTCTTTCAATTAGTATATGATTCATATTTCAAATGTAAACGATTATATTATTGCTGAATACTTCTCTCTTAGATGACTTTTCGTAAATATAATTTATCTAAAATTATCTTATATAATCTATGCGTTAGTATAATAAGATAAAATTATTATTAATACTTGAGATTAAAAGTTCATATACCCTGAGAATATCAACCAATTTATAGGTTTCATACGTAATTAAATAAAGATATATTTTGAGATGTAAACTTATAAACTAATTTTATAATTAACTTGCTTTGCTTTAGTTTATTCAATATATTTGAAGGAATTGATAAAGTTGATTTTTATAATTTGTCACAACTAATCATTAGTTTGCATTAAGTGATAAAGTAATATTTTGTATGAATTCTTATTTTGAGATTGATCAAATTTTATTCTATATCTTGATATTTCTATTTGAAATTCCCATGAAATATGAAAGTGTTTTTGAAATACTTATTATAATAATTATTTATTATACAAAAAAAAATTATATTTTCAAAAATATGAATAATATTAAAAATTAATAGTATTTAGAATATTTAGAATAAAGATTATCATCATTACATAAAATATCTTGAATTTAAATTTTATTAAAAATGCTGTTAATGTTCTAATAAAAATTATATATATTCTTCAATATCATCTGTAAAAATATAAAATAGTATAAAAAGTTAAATCTATATAATAAAATTTATGATATGTGATATAACTATAATCATATCTAATAGACAATTAGATGATTAGATATATTACAATAAAAAATAGATTCCGTTTATGCAAACTCAGTTACATTTTTTCAATTAGTAAATATATAACAATTATATATAGTTTCATAAAAAGTAGTAGATAGAGATATAATATCTCTTAAGTAAAATATTTTAAGGTTCAGATTCTTTGGAGACTAGAAACACTAATTGAAATCATTTCTTTCAACACTAATACCTTTCAGTAAATATTCAGTTGATGCAGTCATGTGCTTTGGTAAAAATTTAGCTTAAGTTATAAAATTTAATAGTAATTTATTATATTACACATAATTTATCATTATTTCAGCATTAAGACTAAAGATAGGAACTGTAATTAATATGTTGCAACTTTTAATGTTGCAACTTACATTGCAATTAGTTTTAACCTATATA